TCGTCAACTGTCGATAAAAGCCAAGTAACTCAGTGTCAAATCGATCTTGAAGGAACTGGCCTTTCGAGTAATTCGTTTTTGTGCATATCGAGCTTACATGCTGCTAACATTTGTTATGCAAAAACTTGGTCCGAGAGCTTAACTGCAACTCAAAATTCTGTATGCTATACTTCTAATCTATTAGGTTGGCACGAAAGTTCTTGCGTAATTCAAACAAAATTCAATAACTTTTCAAAAACTAAACCTAAATTCATAACCTTGTATGCTAAAAAATATTGGAAGTCCCACGCTATGGAAGTTCGAGCACAACATTCCATGAGCTAGCCATCGAGAACGAAACTCTCAAATATGGAACTTCAAATTTTGCGATTTTGAGATTGGTGGCAGAAAATCGCAGAGGGCCGCTGGCTAGCCGAAAAAATCTATCAATTTACCTACACAGCAAAAGTCCATACGTTATGTTAGCAGGCTTCGATATCGCATGGAATACGAAAACAAAAAATTTGTGAAATTTCTCATTTCACAGGACAAATTCCCTTATCGCTCTAATTCTTCCACAGAAACATTGCAACCAGAAATTAGACATAGTGCCTATTCAGAGCCTTGCGACTTTTTCTCGATTACAAAAAAGTGTTTTCGCCGGAAAACTACGGGCTGAGGGGATTTTTTCCGCAAAATGACATATTTCACGAATTTTCTGTTTTTCTTCATCGTGCAAGATCAAAGCCTTCCAAAGTAACATATGGACTTTTGTTGTGTAAGTAAATTCTACAGATTTTTTTCGGCTACCCAGCGGCCCTCTGCGATTTTCTGTCACCAAACTCAAAATCGCAAATTTTAAAGCCCCGTATTTGAGAGCTTCGTTTTTGATGTCCAGCTCACGGAATCGTATGCTTAAACATCCATCCTGAAGCGTAAGGCTTCTAATATTTTTAGCATACAGGATTGTAAATTTAGGTTTAGTCTTTGGAAATTTATTGAATTTTGAATTACGCAAGAACTTTCGTGCCAACCTATTACTTTCAAATGCTGAGAGTTCAATCGTACGTTTTTGCGCATACGTATTAAAACCGTGGTCTGTTACAGATTGAACAATCATTACTCACTTTAAGCTTGCTGTTTCGGCTTCTTACAGTACTTAAACTTGATGTTCAGATAAATTTTCATAACAACAGTTATTGCCGTAATGAAAAGCCTTCTGATTATAACTCATGTTGGATAAGGCCAAGTCACAGATATTGTATTGTATGGGAGATGATCACTTTTTGTAAAAATTGCGTTTAAATAAAATACTGTGATTAACCCATAATCTTTACACAAAACTCAAAAGTTTATATACTCTGAATGTAGTTTGTCACAAAATTCCTCTGAGTAGATTATTAGGGCTGAAATCTCTACAAATTACCGAAGGCTAACTTTCGCGGCGATTCAATGGAGCGCAATGCGCTTATTGCAAACCACAGTATATAGTAGAGACGGCTTTAAATGTCCCCATTTCCAGGTTATGAGGCTGTAGACTTTTATCAAGTCTCGCGCAAAAAGAACTTCTTAAGAGATACCACTTCTACAGTTACTCGAGTCTCGGTTTACTAGGACTATCTTTCAGTGAAGGATGTAAAGGGCGAGTGAGTGGAAAGGATGAGGGATTTGGAATGTTCCAACAAGGTTATAAAATGCCGAATGTTTTTTCAATCAAAATGATTTATTTCTTCACAAAAAATTGCCTCGCAAAACTAGTTTCTTTTGTTGCAAAATCAGACTACCCCCAAGAGGGCTGAGGAATAAGGCTTTAATCAAAAATTTCCTGCCACATCCTCTTCCTTCTAGAAAAAGTTTCTACGTGTATAAAAGTATCTATCTATCTAAGTAACGTCACTGAATTAAGGTGCTTGATTTAGGTGTTCTTTGAACTACCATTCATTTTGCTGTTGAGCGTTGCTGATCCAATCCCCAGAAAAGTGTTGTTTTCCTATACAAAGTACTCGAGAATCAAATTAAGACCTGATGGAAGGTATCAAACATTTTCAGCACTTAACTCGAAATGAGTAAGTAAATTCAGAGAATACGGATTTATTAGCCCTACAAAAAACAACATCAAAAATATATTTGTGAAATGTTTTTCATGTAAGGAAGCACGTCAAGTGACATTCGAAGAGGAAAGAGACGTACTCAGTATGCCATGAACGCTGCAATACAATCCCATATAATCTTTATATCTAGGCTGGACATGGACGGGTGTCCCAAATGTAATACTCTTTGTTCAAGATAGACATGGTGATGAAAATACAATGCTATTTAAGAAAAATATATCTGAGGTAGGTTTGTAGTTTCTATTATATGCATAGCATACTCTTTCAGGAGGCTATAGCCCAAAATCCGCAGAAGAGTACCGTAATATCAAACAAACCCCAAGTCACTGCTCGTATCATTCGCAACAATCTTAGAAGCGCGCGCATAATAGTTGGTATTAATGATGATAATAAAGTGTGAGTCAGTAAAACTTTGGTGGTAAATAAGTATTTGTGAAGTTCTATCAAACATGTTAATTAATGTGCACAAAATGTATCTTGTGCTCTCAGGTATTTCAACGCCTATATGTACGACCTGTTGACTGACTCGATGACACTAATTATAAAAAACGATAGATTCGGAAGATTTGTCTTTGACCACGACATGAACGTTCGTCTTGTCATACAAGAGCAACCGGACGGTTCAGCTATGTATCTCAGGTGAGTGTTTATGGTGCACCATCGAAGCAGCGCTAATGATGGAAAGAAGTGCACTACAGTGTTGCACCATCGCGGCAGCGCTAACGATGGAAAGTAGTGAACTACAGTGAAGTTTGGGGAAAGTAAAGTGGCGATCGCATTTTAGCTATAACCATATGAATTTTTTCAAACGTTTACCACAGTTTATTCATGGAAAGTTTCCAGCGTTAGACAACTTTTCTCTTTACTCCATTTTGCAGGAGCCAACAGAGTTTTATGTGACTTTCATCCTGGTGGACACAAGAGGGAAAAAGTGAAGAGAGTCCAAATGCTTTGAACTAGCTCCGCAAAGCAATTTTTAGGAGGTTGCGGGCGCCATCTCCCTTTTTTCTAAATTTGGAGGATATAGATCCGTTATGTTTTCAGGAAGTAAATTTTTGCAAGAGCGTAATTACTGTTATGCTCGATCATTAAAAAATCTGTCCATACCTCTTCTTCCCAGCGTAACTTCTCAACCACCCTGTTCCCTGTTTCCTAGATCTTGTAAACCATGATTTTAAAATGTCGTTAGGTTCTCCTATCTTTTTTAGGCGGTCACAAACAGCAAAGAATGAGTTACCATACACATCAAATGCGTCAGAGTGGGAGCCATATCTCGTCGTCAAATCGGAAGATAAAATGGTTACTCGGTAATAGGGCAAACAGACTATTCGGTGAGAGCAGTGCTTTTACGCTGTTTGTTCAGGCCTATAACATTCGATAAGAGCAATGAGCATATGTATTGGTTCTGGGGAGACGAAAATAATGACCTTGGCAAGTCATTTATCAGATAAGCCAGACTCCCATAGATGATTATCATGTAAAAAATTAAGGAAGTCTTGTTATGTTTAAATTTGACGATCCTGAACACCGAGAGGTTTTGTACACTGCAGCTAGAGCGGAAATAAGTGATATCTTAATTCATCCTACGGTCAAAACAGTGGTTGCACTTGAAGAGGTATGAAAATGAACTTATTGTTAGAAGACTCAGACGGAGTTCGTTAGTCAGACCGTATTTGAAATCAGATCAAGATTTTACTTGACTTAACTTTGCTTTCAACCACTCTTCAGAAATAGCTCAGAAAACTGCTACAGAAATTTGGAATGAAAGACTTTTAGACATACCACCAACGAGAACTGTTCGCAGTGAATGGCAAATTTGTAGAGCACTTTCAATACTTAGTAAACTTCCGACCATATGACTCCCTGGTAATCATGGATTTCAGTAACGGTTTGAATGATAGCGTTTAATCTTTGTTCTGACTAATGTTAAACTCATTTTAAGATATGTCAACCTGGTTATTATCATATGAGTCAGCTGACCAGCCATATGATGTTTACTTGTACAGGGTTGAGCAGAAATCTGTAAATCCAAACAAAGCTCATTTTCACACATGTCGATTATAGATCGTTAAGGTGGAGTTTCTTTTCAACCTGCGTCCCCAACTCAAGCAGTACAAGCTGGGCAGACAAGTGGGGTTTGACTTCAAAGCAAGAGATGGCATGGTTCTTCAAGCCTACCTTAGTCTTCCACCTGAGGTAGGATATGTTTTATTTGAAGTCTGGCAGCAAATTCTGATGCTTTAGGTTTCACTGCTTTCGGCGAAAGACGTGCCAAAAGCTGATCGAGCCTATGCTGAACTTGGGATGATCCCTATAAAACCTCAAAAGATGGTTGTACGTGTACATGGAGGACCCAGAGTCAGAGACTCTTTTGGTTTTGATCCTGTCAATGCGTGGCTGACGAGCAGGGGCTATGCAGTGCTTCAAGTATTCTACTCTTTTTGTGCTAAGAGGTCAAGTTTGTAATTACTTTTGGGATAATTTAAGGTGAATTTTCGTGGAAGCACTGGCTTCGGTAGGCGCTTGATGAACGCCGGTAACGGTGAATGGAGTAGAAAGATGCACTTCGACATTCTTGATGGCGTTGAGTTTGCCATCGCAAAGCGAATAGCAGAGAGGTCGCAGATTGCAATCATGGGTGGGTTGAATAAAAAAATACAACTTGAAATCAGATCAACAGTTTTCCAGGAGGTAGCTATGGTGGTTATGAGACCTTAGTGGCTCTCACTTTTTCCCCAGAAGTGTTTTCTTGCGGGGTGGATATCGTTGGGCCTTCGAATCTCATAACATTAATCAAAACTGTTCCTCCATACTGGAAGAGTTTCTACCAAAATTTGATACAAATGGTTGGAGGAGATCCTGAAACGTGAGGAATTTGTCCCAAAACCCTGAAATTTACATGTTTTCTAGGGAGGAAGGACGACGAGCACTTAGAGAGCGATCTCCACTTTTTTTTGCTGATCGAGTTACAAAACCATTAATGATTTTACAAGGTGCCAATGACCCTAGAGTAAAACAGCAAGAATCAGGTGCGTAGATTTGATCTCTTATGAGTTCCTCCAATGTCTCTTCTTCAGATCAATTTGTAGAAGCGCTGCAAAACAGATCCATTCCTGTATCTTATATTCTTTACCCAGATGAAGGACATGGTTTCAGAAAGGTGCGGTTACTATAGAAAGAACGGTTACTATAGAAAGATACCGATACTCCATAAAGTTTCCACCATTGTAGGAAGGAAATCGTTTGACCGCGTACGGCTTTGAAGAACAGTTCTTACATACATGCTTGGGAGGAAAATACGAACCCTTTCAATTAGGGGATTATAATACTACGGCCATAGTAAGTGCATTATAGTAAGTGCAAAATTACCACCTTTACATTTACTCAGACAAGTCACCCGAACTTCCGCAGGACAAGCAAAATTTGCAGGTTCCGCAGGATTTTGTTCACTATTGCAAAAATGAAAACGTTTAAAATCGGAACTTCCGCAGGATTTACATGCCAAACTGGTTGAAAACCAAAACTTCCGCAGAACCTTCTTCAAAATCGAAGTTCCGAAAAATGCCAGGGGTTCCGCAGCACTTTAGCCTGCCAGAACTTCCGCAGGACTTTAAATGTGTTGAGCTCGCTTCGGTGTTCTCTTTTGCTGTTGTGGTTGGCAGTCTTCGGAACTTCCGCATGACTTCATTTCGGAACTTCCGCAGGGCGGAACTTCCGCAAGCGCTCTGCGGAAGTTCCGGTCATTTGTCTGAGTATCTCTACAAATGAAAATGATTGGGGTGAGATGTTGAGTCACAATAGCGGGGTCTTACTAAGCAACACTTATACTGCATGACGAAGGCGCAATACCTGTAAGCACGAATGCGGCTTTATTCCGCAGAGTGCATAAGGCGCTACAATCGCGTTCGAGGTCGCTCTACTGGTACTGCTTTCTGCGAATTAGTCGTGCAGTAATCTTCCAGCTGCAAACGGTAAATACAAAGCAAGAGATTTGCTGCAGAAGGTGCCACTTTCATTTCTCTCAAACATGGGTGCAAGGTAGGAATTTTACAAAAATTTTTTAAAAAAATTGAAAATTTAAAAAAAATTGTTATTCATATTGATTATCAGATTTTTTTACATTTTCTATTAGTTGAAGGTTGATATAAACCTCATCACTTTTGGACCACCCACTGGTGGACGGAACGGACATGTCCGCACAGACATCTTCTGAAGCAGTTTTCTCGTTTTGGACTTTACAGTTGGAACCGAGTGAGCAGTCGCTTGGCTATGTGCTTCACTATCATGCGTACTGAAGCAATACTCTCTTTTTGGGTGGAGGGTGCCTTTAGGGTACCTAAAGTAACCTGTCTTTGTACCACGCCGAACAAAGTCGTTTAATACCGCCTAAGTAGTTGACATCAACTTGAAGTCTTGTGGTTTCAAAGACGATATCTATTGATTGTTGACTGTGACGATCAGCAGGTCCAATTTCTTGTTAAGGGTTGGGCCAGATTACGCTGAGAAAGCGGAGTATGCGACGTACGCAGCTTACGCTCGGTATGTTTCATCACAGGAGCGTACGCGCGTACGCCGCGCAGTTTGGCCCAACCCTAAGAGATGCTTCCTTTAACACTAACTCTAATTTCGCGACTATTGTTCCTACTTCTGCTACATGAGGGTCAATGAAAATACCCTGACCGTGGGGCAATCTCGCCGTCAGTCCTTTTTGCAAGGAAAGCAGTGGATTAGAAATAGATAATTGTAGTAGAGGTCGAAATTCGCTATGTGAATTACAGGGTGTTTGAATTTCTGGCCTCATGCACATCAACTGCGAATTCCAGCTCGGTTTCTGCTATATGTCTTCGCTAAAGCTAGAGACTAAACAAAGAAAAATTTTTACAGTCAGATACCCTAAAAAATTTGAAACTAACGAATTTCTTTAGCTTTTTCAAAGAGGCGAAAGGTGCGTTATTTGACTTGTTAAACTTTTTCACTGCCGAAAAACGAACGACCGGTTTTTGATTTTATTACAGAAACTACCAAGTTTACACCCCTTTCAGAAAGTGTATTTTCTCTAAGAAAATGTTTTTTTTTGTAACAAGCATTCCAAGAAAAGCGGCGGTAAAAGTTGTATTGAATTCTACCTAATAAAGAATCAAAGAAACCTCAGAAAAACTTATTTTGGCTAAATTCATGGTTTTCAAATTTTGCAAGCACATGAAACAAAAAGCGGGTCAAAATTTGAACTGGAAATGCTTTAGGCAAAGTTTCCAAACATCGTCTACGTCCAGCTTGAGAGCCGGGTATATATCACGCGATTCCATCGCTTCGCGATTCTCACAACGAGACAACTGTTACGAATTCATTGCATACTGATGATCTTGCATTTCGGTTATGGTAGTTAGTCGAGACTAGTCGTGTCGGAAAACTTTCATAAAAGATACGCAAGATGTTCTGCATGCAATGAACTCATAGTAGTTGTCTTGTTGGATGAATCGCGGGAAAATCGCGTGATATGCCCGGCCCTTTATGCATCAATAGCAAACTAAATTAGCCATACCATTTCCTTTAGGGTGGAGGACGATATGTTGCCGAATTTGGAAGAGTCCCGCGCGGATTCCCTGCAGGAACGCATGTCCGCGCATGTACAAGGGTGCGTATTTGTCGCAAATGACCGCGGGGACCGCCCTTTTTCGGCGACATATAGTCCTCTACCCTTTCCTTTAGGAATAACCATCGCTTTTTTGTATTGGCCTTTTTTCTCTTCTGACAAACTTTGAATTCGATCGTTGCGAATATGATGAAGTGTCCGTGACATGTCAGTGCTGTAGATATGATACAAAAGCCGTTGATAATTTTTTGGGGGGGGGGGGGGGGTGGGAAAAGTTGAAGTGCTGCGACGCATCAACAATCATCTAGGCTATGGGGAGAAAAAAATCAAAAACTCTTTGTTTGATGTTCAAATCCGCGACCATAACTGATCAGCTTATGGATTTCTATTGATTTGTCAACACTTTCGAGGTAAGCTGGGGAACAGCACTTCTTAGAACTCTATATGCATTAGGCTAATCCGAGATTGGTTCGCACTTTAAAATAATATCATTCTATTGTGGTAAACTTGCTCGGCATTGATTTCGTCAGAAAAATATATACTTTGTGACGGCAGCTAGAATCCCTGGCAAGAAAGTGTTGGTATGAAAGTAGCAAGAAAGATACCTGGGTCTGTTTAGACCTTAGAGAAGCAATCCAAAACTTTGACATAAGTTTCGATATAACTTGAAAAGTATAGTAAAATGACTTTGCCCGTTCAAAAGTGGGCGAAGTCTGTGATGGTCGAATATCCGAGTGAGGAGCTATAACTTTTGAGAAAACAATGCAAAAAGACTAAAAAAAATCAAAACTTTTTAAAAGAGCTCAATCAACAAAAACTTCGTTTTGTTAGAGAGAGTCGTAACAAGTTTTAACTGATTATCCGGAAGATATCGCGACGTTTTCAAATTACTGGAAAACATGTTTGAATCTCACCAGAAATCGGATATTTGTTTTTATTTTGTCTATACTCTGGAAAAGTCGAACAATTCTTTGCAAACTGTTCTAGATTTACGATGGTGCAATAAAAGGACATGAACACTTTTGCAACGTATTTATATCTAGGCAAAGCCTCAAAATAGAAATTAGCTACTTCTCAACATTATATGAACTCTGTACGATGCTTTGAAAAATTAAAGCAATGATCACTGTCCAAATCCTTTCAAAAGTTTAAAGAAGACCTCTTTGTTTTGAATATATGGAATCTATATCCGATCCATAAAATGGATTGATCTTAATGTTAGAGAAGTTCAAAATTTACTTTTGTTTCCATTTCGGCCGCCAGCTCCAGGTTCTGCTTTCGCCTCTATCAAACATGGCCGCTTCTTTTCCAAATTTTTGTTACTTGGCGGGAACATGAGAAGCCCGCGCTGAGAAAACATTGCAGGTGATGGCGCGTTGAGAAAATTGGGAGCGCGAGGATTGCGCCTTGATGCCAACTGAAATGATATTCACTGAGACATTATAAATGATACCTTGTTGAAGTCTGTTACACTTCAAAAATTTCTTTTGTAGGTAAATGCGTGGGCCCAGAGCGGCTCTCCTCGTGGCTTATCTTGGATCGCCATTACTCCGTCTCTATCAAGTACTCCGCCATCCAGCGAACCGAATGAGGCCTTAGAAAGTACTCCTTCAACAAAGCCATCAAAGAAATCATTCCTCATGTCGTTTATACACTTCTTATTGCACATTCAATAAACATGTAGACTCGCATGTGCTCGTATAACTTTAGTAATTCCAGAGCACGTATAAAATCCAGCCCCAGACGAAGAAAGCTTATACAAATGCGCATCAGCGCGGTTTGCTAGGTTCAATTTTTAGCTTGGGTGCTCCATCCTTGTCTTTCCTTGCTTTTGCCCCCCGCTCATTTGAGCCGCTTTACATCTCCATCTTGCAATACACCCTGCCTTGTTTGAAGACAGAACAAGCTTTTATACCCTTATCTTCCTTGCTCAGTACCATTTCACCACAACATCGATTGTCAATGATAGACGACATGGACTTCACAGCATCCCGCACACTACAGTACTTTGAAATTTTATATTGCGGAGTGTTAGTCCTGTGCGCTTGTGCATGTGGCGCAAGAAGTTACAAGGAGAGCACTTTCTACGCCAATCCTGTGGTGTTTTCATAGAGATGCTGGCACGTCCGGCCGCCTATTTTGATGTTTTGCAGAGTCATGGAATACATCAAAATAGGATGTATTAACATTTCTCAAGATTATATCCGAGAGGACACTGAGTAAGCAAAAGAATTGGATAAGCTCAAAATAAGGTAAAAAGTTCCTGTACTTCAAACGCACAATCCGCGTTTTCAGCATTCCTCCCTTCTGAAATTCGAAAGAATGCCTACACGAGCTTTAATTATTAGGTTGGTCCGAAAGTTCGTTCGCACCATTTTCAAAAAATCATAACTTCTTTCCCTCACAATGATTTTGCGCAATTCAAATCCTATTAGAAAACGTAAAGCATGTAGTTTCCAAAGGTCCCTGACGACCTTTCATCACGCTCAGATTGCAGAGATAAAAATGAAAGAACGAGAACATCCGAAATTCGAAATTTTTGAGAAAAAATTCTAAAAATTTAGAAACTACGCGATAAAATCCAGAAAAGCCATTATCCTAATTTTTCTTATATTTGGTTACTAACTGAGTTAAGTTTGTGCTAATCGAGCCCTTCTTTTGAAAGTTATGATTTTTTGAAAAAAATGCCCAAAAATCGATTTCTTAGGAATCCTTAGGAAAATGATTTTTGGGCATTTTTTTTTCAAAAATTCATAACTTTTAAAAGAAGGGCTCGATTAAAACTTAACTCAGTTAGTAATCAAATATAAGAAAAATTGGGGTAATGGCCTTTCCCGATTTTATCACACAGTTTCTGAATTTTTAGAATTCTTGCTCAAAAATTTCAAGTTTCGGATGATCTCGTTCTTTCATTTTTATCTCTGCAAGCTGAGCATGTTGGGAGACCTCAGAAAACCTTTGGAAACTACGTGCTTTTCCCTTTCTTATAAAATTTGAAAGGCGCAAAATCGTTGTGAAGGAAAGAAGTAATGGTTTTTTTGAAGATGGTGCGAACGAACTTTCGGACCAACTTAATATATTTTATAGAAAAGAATGTATAAAAAATGAGAAGAATCTGACAGATACTTGGATATTATGACGCGGATTATTGGTGCTCGTAAGGGGTGCAGACTTGCTCAAAGTGTTCGTATAATCGCGAACCGCTAGAAATTAATATGCGGTGGAAGCCCAAAATTCTCGTTAAGTTAACACTGATTTCCACTTTTGTGCTGCACCTATGCTTTTCGGTCATTGAGTTTCTTCCAAACATTTCCAAAACTCTAAAAATACTCTCAATCAAAGGCCGCACTTCGTGTTCCTATGCATGAGTGTCTTTGTAGGTTTCGCGCAGATTCTTTTCGGATCACTAATCTACATAAACACTTTTGAACTTGTATCGTGAGCTAATTTTCGCTAGTAAACGATACCGATATGTTGACTCAAACAAGGAACTGGGGTGGCAGTCAAGATGAACGATAGCTTGTGCCAGCCGCCAGCTGGGTACCGTACGCGCTGCGCTGATCGCTCCGCCCCTTGTTAATTAGCCTAGGAATGCGTTGCAGCTATTGGGAAACTCTCTAATACTTCGTTCATGTTTCTTCATTTGGTTGCAATTTGGATAACAGTAGATTTCAAAATTTCAGTTAAATTGAAAATCGGTTTTCAGATCAATTTTCATTATAAAATTGATTCGCAAGCTCTTTCTAATGATTTTCAATTATTTGTTCCTAGTAGGCTTGTCCAAAATGATTTTTCATTGCAGATATGAGGAAATTGTTTCGAAAATGCCTGGAAAAGTGTTTCTCTATTCACATCTGTTATCATATTGAATATGCTTTGTTGTGCACTCTCAAGTTTAGTTCAAAAAGAAATGCTTATCGAAAATACGATTATTATTGCTGAAATGACCAACACCTTTATCTTTTATCGGAAAAGTAAGTTTTAAAACCTTGACCATAGCTAAACAGATTTCATTGCGACGAGAATTCAAAACAAGCATTATCGGCGAATTTTGTTTCAAGCAAACTAACTCGTTTTGCAAATATGCGGTCATATCACATAAATTTTCTCCTATTTTAGGAAAATTACACTGCACTTATGTACAAATTTTCGAATTTGCTTTAAATATCAATATTCTTTTATTTTGCTTCCAAAAACTGCTATCCTCAATATAAATCGATCTGTAACTCAATCGAAATTGCGTATGAACTAGTCATAAGATGTGAGGTCACTCAAACAATCATGCCTGAGGTGTTAGACTGATTTCACACTTCAAAGTTGGATATCTGAGAGTCACTCGGTCATTCATAGGTAAATCAGCAAAACAAGATTCTGTAAATAGTCAAGCTTCACCACAGCTTGCAACAAGCTTGTATCTGACTATTTAAAGATTTTTACTTGACGGTATCGTCCGAGAAACTCGTCCGCCGCAGTAGGGCGGAGCTTCGAGCGAACACGTTATTACCAGTTCATGACCCCGCGCGCCACTGGTACCAGCTATCGTTCATCTTGACATATACCCAAGGAACTGACCACAAATGTGATTTTAATTGAAGTGGCCTTTTTGGTTAAGTTCTTTATCAATTCGTAGAAAATTAAATGATGTTTCCAAATCTTTTCACAGTAACTGCTGCCGACCAAAAACTCCGAGCTATAAGTATTTTTTATTGAGAAAAATGAGCACATGGTCAAAATCAATCGTTACGGTATCCTAAAGCTTAGAAAAGAGTGATGAGTGACAACATACCAGACAGAAAGTATTCATTACAGAAGTGATCTTTGAACGGTTTTTCAATTTGTATAACGGTCGACTTCTTCACGAAAAAAAACGTTCATAACTCAGCAGGCAAAGGTGCAATGCAGCTAACGAAAATATTGTAAATAGCTTTTGATTCTTTATAAAATGCTATAGACCAATTCGGAATGGTCACTTTGCCTAAAGATACTTTGTTTGTGAGCTCAGGAGCAGAGTGGGTACGCTCATTACGATTGTAATCTTTGTTCAGACAAACTGCTTTCATCAATTTTATCGATTCCTCGTTGAGTGCTATTTTTGAGGGGGGGGAGGGGAAAGAGAATAAGTGGAGCACCTTGCGTGAAAAACAAATTAGGGGCAAGCGACTGGCTCTAAGAAAGTGCAATGCAAGAGTGAAGGAATGTTGTACAGAAGTGAGACACAATAATGGCCTCTATAACCTCAAATCGAAGAGAAATGAATGGTTTGCAAAGCATAGGTGAAGATAGTCACTATCTTGCAAATTCCTAGTTTACATAGGCTCCTCATATTTCTTGAATATCCACTCTTCAGTCTTCTTATATACAGGGTGTCCGTAAAGTATGTATACACTGTTTGATCGTTAATATCTCTTTTCCCAAGAAGTCTTTTGCCTTGCTTTAGGTACCATTTTGTAGAGCTGGTCTCAACTTAGATTTACAGCGAATTACCCGCCTCTCTTCATTACTGTAGGATTACGGTAGAAACTTCAAAGAGGTTTTTAAGCCATGAAAGGTCATATTTTGCCTCAGAAAGGGAACAAAACAGCCTGAAAACTTTTACACTAGGCTAATTAGAGTTGCTAATTCTAGTTCCCAAATTATTATGAAGCTTCATTGAAGAGTTATCCCAGGTGAGAGGTAGCGGCCATTTTTTCAATGTTCCTAAAAAGTGCGGTTACACCGTTTAAAAAGCTTCACAATGTTGTAAATAGTTGAATATTGAACTCAGCATTTGTAAAAACCCTATTACACAAGTTTTCACATTTTTTTGAAAAATTTTGGAACGGCAGCTTTTTCCCCATTGACACCATATGTTTCAAGTTTCTATCGTAATCCTACAGTAATGAAGAGAGGCGGGTGATTCGCTCCATGCTGTAAATCTAAGTTGAAGCCAGCTTTACAAAACGGTACCTGAAGCAAGGCAAAATACTTCTTGGGAAGGGAGATATTAACGATCAAAGAGTGTATACATACTTTACGGACACCCTGTATAAAGCTGAATATCTGGTATGTCTATCTGTCTGCATTACGTGAGCATATTATTTCTGAGCCGATCTGGACCAAACTTTGCATACACACACTTCGAGGAGGGGCGGGTGTCGTGGGCTAATTTTCGCTATCGATCTATGTCGATTTTCGAATTTTTTTTTGCAAAATCGAGCAACAGGGCAGGGAGTTGGCACAAGGGCCGCTCATTTGCCCCTCCCATTGGCTAATCTCATTACGGGTTGTGCAGGCTTGGAGGATAGTTCTCAAGTCTGAATGAATAAGGAAGGATGTAAAATGACAGACAAGAAAGAAGTCTACCCTTCGGGACACGTTGCCTTTGCAACATAAAGAGAAATATTACTAAACGATCTTTGATCATGAGGCATTGGTGTGGGCACCGCTTTGTCGAAAGTAAGGTGCGTTCATACTGATACGCAACTCCGGGAGCAGTTCCAGCACCCCGCTTGAAATGGGCGCTGTGCTGCTGTTCCCCGACTTCGGGATCAGTATGAACGGGCAAACTTCAGTTTTCTCAATTTTCAGCTGAGATAAGGTGTACATGAGGTTTAGTCATAAGTGTATCTACTAACTATAATTATGACTATAGTAACTATAGTTAACTATAGAATAGCAAGTTGCAGGTGTTCCAAATTTTTT